GGTGGGGCAAAGGGAAAGCGGGGTGCAGCTGCCCCCAGGCCACACCACCGGGGCAAACTCAGCCTGTGGGAAGGGGAGGCTGCAGGCCGCGGGACCATGACGCTCTGCCCCAGGTGCAGCACAGCCTCCAGGTGCCCGGGAGACGGTGGCAGTGGGGAGACGGACGTCCACCACCTTTCCTGTCGTCAGCCCCCCACCGGCCTTCACAGTGTGGGTGGGACACACAGGGAAACCAAGGCCCAGGGGCCACAAGTGCTGTGCGCGCAAGCCCCAGCCATGGGAGCAGGGGAGTGGGCCAGCGTGCCGGAGCACAGGAGATGGCCCTGGCCCCCTGCATGGGGCTCAAGACCCTCACCTGTGCTCAGGGGCAGGTGAGGGTAACGAGCTGACCGTCCGTCAGGACTGTGGCTGCCTCCACGCTGGGTGCCACCTCTGAGTGTTCGCTCTGTGATCCTACTGCCCGCGATGGATACGTGGTGACACGGGGGACGCAGCTGAGCCCTCCCAGCCTGGTGCAGCCTCGGGCTCTGCACTCTGGCGTCGATCCCCGCGGTGCTCAGAAGGGACGGCCCTTCCCTAGAGGTGGGACAGCCGGCCCGGGCCACAACGTTGCTCCTGCAGCGCAGGAAAAGGCTGCCCCTTCGATGTCACGCAGGACCACCCTCTGCCTCTTCCCATCTGCGGACTGAGACTGTGGCGGGCAGATCCTGGGTGAGGACTTGTCCCCCTGCCCAGCCTCAGTTTCCCCATCTGAAGACTAGAAGGCAGCCTGGGGGTGGTGCTCTGGCCTGGAGGCTCAGACGCTCTGCAAGCTGAAGGCTTCTCTGGCTGCTGGCTCTCCTCACAGAGCCCAATCATCTGCGTGGTCTCAGCCCTGCTTCCCCGTCAGAGGGCTGGGCTGGACATGTGGCCCCCCCAGGCAAACCAACAGCATGGGCTTCCGTCCATGGGCCGCGGGGACTACACCCCAGCTCCCTGAACACCCAGAGCCACTGCTCTCCGCCCCGTGGGCCACTGAACCCGGCGCGCAGACAGATCGCCACCACTGAGCCTCCTGATGCAGCTGGGGGTAGGGGGCGTCTCGGCACCCCTCACCGACTCCCCGACCCCCCACGGGGCCAGGTCCAGACCTGACCCCACCGCTCAGCGGGCGTGAGGCTCGCCTCCCAAGCTGGAAGAGCGCCATTATTTTTAGGGGAAATGCACAGCAAGCCCCTAGGCAGCCCCCCGCATGGTGTGTAGCAGGGGCAGGGCTCCCAGGCACGACTCCACGTGCAGCGCTCATGTGCAGCCTCGGGGTGTGCTCTGTGCTCATAAGAGTAACACGTGTTGGTCAGCGTGTAGGAAACAGAATTAGAGGAAGGCCATCACCTGCGACCACAGCTAAAATGTGGGGTCTTTTCCTTTCCATCTCTGTTCCCGGGTACACACCTCCCAGACATGTGTACAGATGTGGTAAATAACCTTTTCCTGCTGCACAAAAGGAGACACAAGACTGAAAGCGTGGTTACAGCTGCACAACATGCTCTGGAAAGGCCAGGGGCTGGCGAGAGTGGTCACTGAAGGAGGCTGAGTTTGGACGTGACTTTTTTCAAAACACACCTGTCATAAAGCTTGACTTTTGAAGCACGTAAAAGTGTTTTGCTGTTCGAAAAGCAAATTAACAAAGAATCATATGGATGCCCAACTAGAAGAGTGGCTCTATCGACAAATGCTTTCTCTCCAGACCTGCAGAGATGGAGCTGAGGGCAAGGGCTGGTGGCCCTGAGGGAAAGCCCCAGGTGGCGCACAGTAGGTCTGCTGGGCACGTCCTGACTGCCTGCGAGGTGACCTCCCGGGAGACCTCGGGGCCCGCACAACCTGCCCTGTGGTCGGAGGGCAGATCTGCCATAGGGAAGAAAGGCTGAGAGGACCTGGGGAGAGAACCACAGTGCAGCTCTGGCCTGCCCCCAAGGGCCTTCCCATCACCTCTGGTCAACACACCGGGAGGTGGAGACATCACAGGAATCAGAGGGATAGCAAGGGCTGTCCATCAGTCTGGCCCAAATGTCCCTGGTCAGTGAGAACAGAAGAAAGAGCCCCTGTCCTGCCCAAACCACAAGACCGCTGTCCCACTGCCACCTGCTCACTGCCCCCTCATGGATGGAGACTCAGAAAGCTGATGGGGACCAGGGCTCAGGTGTGAGACCCCCTGCCCAGACTGTGGCCTCTGCACACCCTCAGCTCAGACGCTGGACTCCAGCCGCCCGACCCAGGATTCCAGGAGACAACTCTATCCCCAGGACTGTGGACACATCCCGGGCCAGGCCAAATCAGGTGCTGCCCACAGCCGACAACGTCACTGCCACACTGTGGAGCTCCTGCTGTGTCCACAGCACCTAACAGAGGTGGCCGGTGATCCTCTCAGCTACCCCAGAGGCAGGGATCGGTCTCATCCTCCCCCAGGGGCAGACTCTGGTACACAGGGTAGAGGGTGAGGGTGCCTGAGACCTACCCGGGACGCAGCGGGCAGGAAAGCCTTACCCGGGCAGAGAGGGGGAGGGGCCTGTCGGGATGTGACGGGGGGTGGGGGGTGGCCTGCATCCTCAGGACAAAGGCAAGGAGAACTTGAGGGACACTGGCACCGCGCACAGGTCCCACCTCCTGAGCAGGGCCACATCTAACATTAGGTTATACTCCAGGGGTGGCAGCCTGTGTCCCCATGGAGGCCAAGACGGACCCCCACGGGCTTGGCAGAGCTCTGAGACCAGGCAGGCTGAGGCCTCAACACTCACGGTGCCGGGCCTCAATGTCCCCATCTGTGCCGTGGGGACACGCAGGCCTCAGATCAGCACCTGGTAGAGCGCACTCATCTGCTGGTTGCTAGCTGTCACTATCAGCCTCATTATCAACTATCTGAACTCTGGGGGAAAACCACTACACTTTAGCAAGAAATGAGGCCAAACAAGCGGGGCCGATCTAGAAGTTATGACTCGTCTAGAAGCCCCGTACTTTCCAAGGCAGGCAGCAGACTCCTCCCTGGCTCAGAAGGCAGAGAAAGGTGCATGGAGTGGCCCTGGGGTGATGCGGCTGTGTGAATGCCAAGCAGAAAGTAAGCTCAGTCTCACTATGACCCGGCCGGGGCTGGTCTGAGCCTCAGAAGTCCCCTAAAGCGGAGGCTGCACTTTCTGGCCCCTGATGCAGAAGGGGTGCAGCCAGAGCCACTGCAGGCAGTGTGTGGACCCAACAGGTGCGCTGAGTGACCCTGGGCGCAGCTTCCCTGAACCTCAGTTTCCCCTCTCACTGGTTCATTCCACAAACATGTATGGGGCACTAGGACCCCGCAGGGGACACACACACACACAGACATGGTGCCTGCTCTTTCAGCTACAAGTTCTGGCAGGGAGAGCATCACAACAGAGCAGACAGCTTTGG